GGCAACTGGACTTTTGCTCATTTTTTTATGATAGCTTTCCAGGAGTGTTATGTTAATCTTGTCGGTTCGCAGCAACCCATGCTTGGAGTGCTCATGAAAGCCTTTGTTATCCAACATAATGAACAAATCACAGTAGCATTTAGCCTTTGACTTTCGAGAGTTCTTCCAGTTTAGTAACTCTGTCAATCAATCTGCAGATCTCTTTTCCATCTCACCTAATGTCTTTCCTCTATGCGTAACCATTGCAAGCTGAACATCTGACCATACTACTGTACATACCCTCATCAAATCCTGTCTGACTCTGTTTCTGTTTTTGTTTAGTTAAATTTTTATCAACTACAGCTGTTAACCACTCTTTGGCCCTTTTTGGCTCTTACCAACAATTCTAGTCGGAATTGGTGTTAAAGATAGCCAACAATTAAGTGTTGCATATCATCAGGTTTCTTTTATCATAGTACATGTTATTACAGGGAAATCGGAAAAGGAAACTGAACTTTGCAACATATATTAGCATTTTTGTTGTCATTTCCTGGGGAAAATTAGCTCAGTTATACAGTATAGTTTTAATGATGAATTGCAAAAGATGCAACTCAAAGGTTAAACTTCATCAAATGAATCATATCTATTTATTTAGTAAGTAGGACTCGTTTCTGGTGAGGGTTGGACTCCGCCAAGGTTGCCCTTTGTCGCCAATTCTGTTCATAACTTTTATGGACAGATTTCTAGGTGCAGCCAAGGTGTTGAGGGAATCTATTTTGGTGGCCTTAGGATTGCATCTCTGTTATTCACAGATGATGTGGTTCATGAGGTTAGGTTCATCAGGGTGTGATCTGCAGCTCTCACTGGAGCGGTTCGCAGCCGAGTGTGAAGAGGCTTGGATGAGGATCAGTGCCTCCAAATCTGAGACCATGGTCTTGAGCTGGAAAAGGCAAAGCTCTCGATTTACCGGTCAATCTATGTTCCTACCCTCACCTATGGTCATGCGGTCTTGGGATTCCCCCGGAGGAACTGGCCCAAGTGGCTGGGGAGAGGGACGTCCAGGCCACTACCCCCCCAACCCAACCCCGGATGGATGGATGGATCTGTTTATTTAAATTGTATACAAATATTTATGTTTGTATATGACATAAATATACATCAATATATTTATATTTATGGTTATAAATAAAGAACACTTTAAGTAATGAAATGAAAAGATATGATCAATCATCACATTAAGAAAAGTTTAATATTCCTAAGAAACTCTGGAAATATAAAGAGACATGGCAGGTTATTCATTATACGTTTTATTAAAGATTCAAATTAAAAAAATATATTTAGTATTTCAAATTATCAAATTAAATGTAGCAACCTTTATATTAAGTAGTGCAATCTTCATCCATTATCACATTGATGAAACTCTACATACACTGAAAAAAATAATGCGACCGCTTTTGGCATTTATTTTGAACCATATTTAGTTACTTTAACACAATTCTCTTATGTCCTACCCTGCTTAAATTAAACAATTGTGTTAAATTAACTAAATATGATTAAATAGATGCCAAAAATCCTTTGCATTACCTTTTTCAGTGTATTACTTTGGTCTTTGTATTTGCACTTAGAAGACAAACAAGTCGATTTATTCTTTGGTGTAGTCTAGTCTATTCTAGTGGGTTTGCTAAACCTCATCAAATATTTTCAAGCATAAGTAACGTTTCTGTATAAGTAGCCATGTTCTTACTTCTAGCACATGACTTATTGGCCAGATTCATAGCAAAAAAGGCAAAATGTAAGTTTGCCGTTTCCAATATGCAGGCTGACCTGTTTTATGTTAAAAACAAGCCAAGTCTTTTTGAATATTATCCAATCTCGACACACCTAAGCAACAGTTTTGCCCAATCTTCTATGCAGTAATTCTAAAAATAGCTATTTTTAGATCTCTCTAAAGAATTATTTTCAGATTAAAATCACTCTGGTTTGGCCTCTTCAGGACATTCACAGAAAGTTTATGGAGTCACTCCTTTGAGGTCCTGGCTGTGTCCTTTAAATCAGGCATCCCCAACCTCGGTCCTCGAGGCTGTCATGATGGGTTTGAGGTTCTTAGCCCACATGCAGAACACAACGGAGGCTGGGTAAAAGTTTAACAGAGTTTATTGAAAGTTTCACAAAACACAAGATAATGTACTGGGTCAGGAACTGGTCCGGGCTGGTTCACTGAAGTCTGCAGAGATGATAGTTTGATTAGAAGGCAGGCAGATGAGTTATGAGTCTTTGATAATTCTGGATTATACCTTGACTGAGTCCGGGCTTCTCTTTGAGAGAGAGAGGGAACCGTTGGGTCCAGAGACTGTTTGTTCAGCAGAGTTCAAGAGCAGCTGCAGCGTCTAGCTTCTGACTTTGAATGGCAGACCTTGATCAGAGTTTCCAGCTCTTCACTAAGAGCAGCAGGGGAATCCACATAGGAATCTTCAGGTTGGCTCACCAGGGCAGATTTGGCAGGTTAAGCTCATCCCGAGCTTCAGGCTAGAGACAGGTTTCCTGTGAGGCAAAAACAGAGGAGAGTTAGAATCTGATCCCTCTCAAGAGACAACTAAGATTTTTCAGTTTCAAGGCTCAGGTTGCTAACCAAACTAAGGTCAACACTACGGCGTCGAAGCAAGGTCTGGCAGCTGGTTATAAATGAAAGGTCTCCTGATGAGTAGATGCGTCTCAGGTGTGCTGGAAAACTCCAGCTCCAGGAGACCCACGGCGCACTCTGCTGGAGGAAGGTGGTACAGCTCCAGATCCCAACAGAGGCCCGCTGTCCTGCAGGTTTTAGAGGTTTCCCTGCTTTAGCACAGCTGATTATAATGATTGCAGTAGACCAAAAGCCTGTTAATCAGCTTTCAGTTAAAATCAGCTGTGCTGGAGCAAGGAAACCTCTAAAACCTGTAGGACAGCGGGCCTCGAGGACCGAGGTTGGGGATGCCTGCTTTAGATCATTGCCCCAGTCTGATGTCAACTACGCTTTTCCGCAGGTTTTCATACAGGGTGTCCATGTATATTTCTGCATTCACTTTTACCTCTATTCTAGTAAGTCTGCTAAGTCCTTGCTGCAGCAAAAAACATTACTATAGTATGATGCTGCTACTGTATTACCATGCTTCACTTAAAAGACAATGGTGGCATGTGCATGAGTGATTTCTGGTTTAATCCAAACAAGACACTTTGCATTCATACTAAAAACACTTCTGCAATGGGTTCATGTTTGTTTTGGTCAGAGTGCCCAAAAGTGGAGGACATATCAACTGGACAGAACAGAAGTAAGGTGAGCAATCTGGAGCTCATAGAGCAGCAGTGTGAAATCAGTGCAAGAACACCAGCTGAGAAAGTTTCATAACCGGGATGAAGCAACCAGCAGTGCCTCCCCCTGAAACTAAGGAACCACAACGGTAGCTCACGAGGAGAGAAGAGGAGAACAGCAATGGATCGGAGAGGGCTACCAGGAAGACAGAATACTAAAGGTGGTGGGGAGGGGCTGCATCTGACCATGAGACCATTAGAAAGGAGAGCAGTATATCGTAGAAGGCTGCCAGGGAAACAGAGCATGAAGATGCTAGCCTCTAGAGGCTAACTGCTGGAGGCAGAAGGAGAACAGCTGAGGATCAGACACAACAGTGGAGCGCTGTCTGCTGTCTACACTGGAGGTAGGAAGAAGGAACAGTCCTTCTAGGGCTACATTAAAATGGCTCTTTGTCGATGATTAAGAATTATTAAAATCATTCTTTGTCAACATTTATTTCCCTATTTTCCAGTTTTAATAAATTAATCCTGCCTGTGTAACCTCCTTTATTAAAACAGTGGTCATTTGAGAATACTTCTGATTTTCCCTTTTTGTAGGTGCTCAGTGGGGCAGTGGGTAGCACCACTGCCTTACAGCAAGAAGGTTCCAGGTTCAATTCCTGGCCTGGTGTTAAAATGTAAGCCTTTGGAAAATATGTCCTCAGGTTGCATGTCTGTAAATACTGCTCTATTCTGTTTTAGCGACACAAGAGGGCGCAAAGAGAACAGTAATGTGGGAATGTGATCTCATGGACTTCCCATAGATGGCCATTGATATGTGTGAGTTTTTCACAGCCCAACTGGCAGATGGTCACGTTATATCGTTCAGTGGAATAAATCTAGAAAATGAGAAAAGCCGTCACCCTCTTTTCTCCTTAAGCATATATGCTTTCCAGTTTTTCACCAGTCACCTGGTAAGGTTGTTGACAACCTGCCTAACTTAGCACATTGGGGTGCTATAAATATTTCTTCTTTAGTTTCTTCAGCTTGTTTATAATTTAATCATTGACAAAAAAAAAAATGAAAAAGAAAGCCTCCTATGTCTGTTCAAGTAGCTCAACATTAGATTTTTGGTGCTTGATTAGATTTTGGTTTGAAACTCTACACAAGCCAAGAAGAAATCAAATTATTGTTGTCCCCTGTAGCCAAAAGAACAATCATCTTTGCTGTCTTTTTATTTAGTTGCCATTATCTTCAGTTGGCCAAGCGTGACCTCACAGTTTGCTCTGGAGAACCAGGTATTCCACAGTGCCCAACTAGAGCCACTGTTCCTTTTCTTAAACCTATTTTTTTATTGAAACACATGACATTTGTTTCAAAGTGGACAGGGTAAGTTAAAGGAACTAATCAGAAGCTTTAACCCGAAACATTAGTAACCAACTAATGTTGTTAATCACTTGCTCATTTTCAAATAGCATGTGTGCGCAGGTCTTTCAATGCAGCAAACTTCAGTGACTCTGTACAAAAGTTGTACAAAAAATCTTTAAATCTTTTTTCTATTTGTAAGAAATTCCATTAAGCTAATTTGAAAGAAACATCCTGAGCTAATTTTTCTGTTCCCTATGGTGAACCACTGAGGTGCACAAACAGAAGCAATGACGACACCTGATAGCTCATTTGCATTTGATGATCCTCTTAGACCCAATACTTAAAGCCCTCGTGCAAGGAGATTTTTCTGAGCAGGCTGTTAAAAGCATGTGACTCAGAGAATTTATAGCTTTAAATTGCTGTATTTATTATTACATCTGAGCTCTTTGGGTGGGCACTCCCTAAATATTTTATTGATAGAATTCAGTGTATGTAATAAAATTTAAACAGAATGCAGTCAGTGGGATGCTGCATCATTCAATGTTTTTCTTTGCTTGAAAACAAAAATGTCAAATAACAGCTCTGGGGTTGTTAACATTTTCCAGGAATTGATCAATTTCCGGGCTATGTTACTGCAAATGTTCGTGATTATTTTTCTGTGCATCAATATGCTGCTTATTGTGACCTTTTTCAAAAAAGAGTGTTTCCACACAAGTGCTCGGTATATATTATTTGCTGTTATGCTGCTTTCAGACAGTTTTGTGTTACTCCTATCTGATGTTTTGCTCATCGTAAACTCTCTTGAGTTCACGATACAGGTCTGGTTGTGTACCATTATTTCTGTTGTCACTGTCCTCTATGTTATGGCTACACCTGTGACTCTGACAGCAATGACCCTTGAGCGTTATGTTGCCATTTGCCTACCCCTGCGCCATGGGGAGCTGTGCTCCACACGGCGATCAATGCATTGCATCCTCATCATTCATGGAGTCAGCTCTGTTCCTTGCATCTTGATTCTCACTATGTTCTTTGGAACAGCCTCTTTGGGCCTCTACAAACAAAAGGCTTTATGTTCAGTGGAGGTTTTCCTTTTGCAACCTTGGCAACGTCATTTCAGGTCTGCTGTAAGTCAGTTTTACTTTTTGATCATGTGTATCATCATCATTTTCTGCTACATTCAGATAGTGAGGGTGGCCAAAGCTGCATCAGCTGAGAATAAACAGTCGACAAAGAGAGGACTCAGAACAGTGCTTCTTCACGCCTTCCAGCTGCTGCTCTGTCTCATCCAACTGTGGACCCCCTTTTCAGAAGCTGCTGCACTTAATGTTGATGTTAATTTATTTGTGGACATCAGGTTCTTCAATTACATGATGTTTAATCTTGCTCCAAGATGCTTAAGTCCTCTTATTTATGGACTCAGGGATGAAAAGTTTTTTCTCGCACTCAAAAACGATGTTTGCCTCGGCTACTGTAAAAGATACACAGTCTAAGTTGTCTTAAAAATCCCGTAAAATGTTATTATTGTTGTTGTTATTATCATTAGTATTGTTAGCATTGTCTAGTGTGCATCTGCCTTTCAACTATAGACTGCTGGAGATAAACACTAGCCCCCACACAGAAGGTTGTGTCTGCAATTGTACAGCAGTTCTTGGGCCCCTTTTTAATGTAGCTGAGATATGCAGCTTTTACTGTATAAATAGGTGTGATTGTTGATGTTCATGTATAAAGGAAAAAAAATATGTCAATTTACAGTTTACTAACTGTGGACCGTCCAAGCATCAAATGCTCAGAATGAAATAACTTTTTTGAACAATATTTTATTCCTATGTGAACATTATTCTGTCCAACCAGCTAAGGATTATTTATGGATATAAAAAAGTTTAATTCTCTTTCCGTACAATCTTGAATAATAGGTTATAGTAGAGCCAGCTACATTTATTCAAGTGTGGTTTTTTATTAAGTGTAAATATGTCCACAATGCATTGATTAACTGTAACTGTAATGATTATAATGTTATGATTTTATATACCTTGACCTGAAATGATAATGTGAGCATCTCATAATATATCTTTTAGGAACAAGAAACAGTTTAATCGTAGTTTCCCATTGTTATTGTAATAAAATAGGGTATTTAATAAAAAAATCATTGAATAATGTTTTTTTTTTAGATAAGAAATAGAAATTAAAAAGCATTCCTTGTGCAAGTAAATCATAGGTATGCTTCTGCAGTTTTAAATTGACATCCCCTTGATAAGAGAGATAATTTGTTTAGTTTCAGTGGCTGTCATGGAGTTTATAAACTTTGAAATATTTCAAATTGTACTTATCTGTAAACATAGGGATATTGTAGCCATCATTGTGGTACTTTCAGGCATATTGTTTAAGTTTAATATTTTGAGTATTCGGAGCTGTGTGACAACTGTAGTTTTTCAAAAATACCTCGGTATAAACTGGTAATATGACCCAAACTAAACTTGCTTCTAGATTAAAGTCCTGACAATAATTTCCTGTATATTTCAGTTTAATTCAAGTGCAACTGCTGTGATTTGATAAACATGCAAAAATGAAATATTTATGTTGGAACATAAAATATTTCATCAATAAATAAATAATAAATTATTCCTTTTTGCTTGTAAGTCACTGTCATGTCTCGTCTTTTGCTTTTTCCAAAAAAATATGAAAATATCATTGTTTCATGGTAATATGATAAAGCTAGACATATTACAAAAAAGAAAACAAGCAGATTATTGTTTTTTTTTTTACTTTTTTATTTGTTCTTTTTTTTAAGACATAGCAAAACTGATAAATGTGATAATTAGAAAACACACATGTTAAAGTAAAGCATCAACATAGTTTTTTCTCATACGACTCACAGTCAAGAGCCTTTTTTCTCAATTTCATTAATTGTGGAACATTCACAAATCAAATAAATAGACTTAAAAAGTTATACAGTGGTTAATGCTCTAAAAAGTGCTATTCAGTTATTTCCCTTTAAAATTAGATGGCTTTCACGTTAATATAAATATGCTCAATATATACAATGCTACAGACTCCAGAGAGTAGTTAAAGGGGAGAGGAAACAAACACTGTAGGTATATAAAAATTTCCTAAGGAAATCAATTGCACTTTGACAAGGTTTCTATTCTGCTTGGCTCAGTCTTCCCGTAGATAAGCCTCATGAACCTCATGCTCGTTGCCGTCCAGAAAAGCATTGTATTCAGCCATTCTCTGGATCTCCTCCACTTTAGTCTCAGCTAGCTTCTTGTCGGCCTCTGCTGACAGTTTTCGTGCCTCCTCCACCTGGGACTCGGCCACCTGAATATTTGTTTGGACCAGGATGGATGCCTGATGAGCTCCTGTAAATACAGTGATCAACCACAAATATTACTTTCTGAACTGCACATGTGTATAAAGCTTTTTATACGTATATATATTCATATCAAGTCAGTTTTAGTACAATGTTCTAATTTTGCACACCTGATGAGTATGCTGCCTCAGCTGCCATTTTTGAGATATTAACAGCATTGATCCAGGTTGAGTCATAATGTTTGCATTCATTGAGTCTCTCAGCAGCCTGTTAGGACACATGCAAAATATAATCAGCATGAAATATGCTCTCTTTTTTAAGAGAAAAAAAATCTAATGAAAGAACCAAACAACTTTTTTCAATCTTACCTCTGCACGCCAGCCACTGATTGCCCGCCGGAGGGATTCCTCCTCCGATGGACTCATCTTGCCCAGTGATGCAAGGTATCGTTTTTGAAAGGTGATTCGTGAGTGCACAGCCTTGTGAAGAAAACAGCAAAGGAGCAGGTTTAGTCTTTTTTCTATAATTTCTGATCTCTTTAAAAATCAAACCCAACAATTTTGTAATTAGTTTTTTTTAAAAATTTAAAATGAACATCTACCTTTGAGTAGTCTGTTAGCGCTTCCGTGAGAGCCAAGGTGGCCTGAGAGAGGAAGGTACTCGAGCTGTCAGTCAGCACTGAGGCGGCCCTCCTGATTAGTGAGTTATGGGAAAGATCTTCCACCTGCTGCAATGAGGAAAGGAAAATCAGTTTTAACTAGTTTGTTTATGTGAGGCGAACAACTTTTTTAATTGTTACAGTCTTTGAATTGAGTCTTTGACTTACCCAAAGTCCGTGGCCAACACTTAAAGAGGCCAGGCTGATGTGTGTAGGGTTTGTCAGTTCTCCGGGTTTCTGGACTCCAGACCTCCTGTTCTCACAAGTGCTGTAGAAATAAAAGAAAGAAAATATTTATTTAGAGATTAACAGGCATTAACAATAACTAAGCAGTAACTACTGCTTACAGCCTCTTTTAAAACAACGTACCTGAGGTAGCGGATGCTAGATGCACTTCTTCTTTGCAACAGGGATACATCTTGATTTCGTACAAGTCCTCCTACAGCATGTCTTGCACATGCAGAACACTGACGAATAGCTTGCATTTTTGCAAATATTTAGTTTAGCTGCTCTTGCTGGTTATTTTTTAGATTTTTTTTTTAGCTATAACTGCAGAATTTCTGTTTTCAATAAATCCAGATTCCTGCAAACTTACTGAAGATCTGTCTTTGTAGAATGAAGAAAAGAGTCCAGTTTTAAGCCAAAAGTTTGGATTCTGGATGCTTTACCACAAAGTAAAGAGTCTGTTGAATGAATACTGACGGTTGTGTTCTGAGGGTATTTATAAGGCCTGAGCCACTGTCTGTTACGCAAAAGGTATATTGATCTGTTGACGCTGCAGGCAAATGACGTATTATCTAAAGTCCTGCTGGTACGTGTGAGATAGTGAGGTTGATGGTGACAGTTTGAACAAGCCAAGTCTATCCTTTGTACCTTATTCTGTGTGTGCCTGCAGGTACTAAACAGTTTAAATGTTGATGTTAGCGTTTACTGGAAAAAACATTTACATCAAAATTTAAGATGATTTGATCATGCATTTATTATCATTTTAATTTCTTATTCTCTGAAAGACACTCTATGTTAAGTTTGATGTTCAGTCAAATATGTCCTGTTCATGTTGTTCAGATTTTAGTGAAGCTCCACTGATTTTATTAAATCTGTGGTATATAAACAGTAAAAAAAGCTGAGTGCTTATCTTTTTTTTTATTTTCAGGAATGATGCAGTTCCAGAACCTGTTTCACTTTTTATTGCTTATTTTGGGGCAAAAATGTCCTCAGTCTGCTCCTGTCGTGCCAGCTAAAGAACGTTCTGTTATTTGCATCCAAATAGGACTATAGGTTGCCCATGTCTTCCCACAGTCACATTATTCTATGTTTAAAACATGCAAAATGAAAACATCTCTGGCTTGCTGCTGGAAACACTTGTTATCTTACTGTATGGTAAATAGCTCTGATGTTATAATAACTGGGTAAAACAATTGATATTCTGTAAGGTAATATACCTTCCTGCTAATGAATGCAAATATCAATTGTTACAACAGAAGATGGGAATTAATCTGAAATAGTTTGAGAACCAACCTCAATCCCAATTCTTCTGCAGTTCATGCAAAATGCTGGTGACGTATTTCTCTTCTTTAAATAAGTCTAATCAGGTAACTTCTCCACTTCAGTACAATGCAACAAAATATTATGAGTAGGTCTGAACATTTCCATATTGTACTGCTTGATATCTATGTTATTTTTTATTTGTTTTAAGAAAGGCCTTACAGAGTCTGCAGCTCTCTTCTGCTCATTCTTGCAGCCCGCACTGGTACTTGAGAAGTTTATTTATTTATTTATTTTTTTTCAGCTTACCGGTACATGAAATTGACATTGGTATCTGAGTTAAGCTGGATGCTACTGAGTATCCACAAAATCTATCTTGAAAACTAAAATAGCACTCAGAGAGCGCAGAACTCTGCCTAGCAGCAAATTTTGCCCCATATTGTGAGTTACACCTATAGATGAAACTCGCACATGATCTGGATGATTACATATTTCAATGAATTATTCCTTGGCATTTGGTGCACCTTTGGTAACAATTTCCTTAAAATTCATTCAAAGTTTATAAATAAGGTACTACGTGTGTCTGCAGCCTCTGGTGTCTGTTCTGCTCTCAACCTTTTTCATTCACTCTGCTTTCTTGTTTGATCAGCAGATCGACCCTTGGCTCACTTTTCCTGTGTTTTTGTCTTCAGTCTAATAATTCAGTATAATGCCGAAGCTGTCAATAGTCACTGCTGCCACTCTCTGGTTTTAGGGCGAAGCTACTTGTTCTGCAAAAAAAAATCAAAGAATCCCATTTGGGGTTTCAGTTATGCTTTGATTTATTTTGTTATTTCTGTGTTTGCTGTTAATATTATTTGAATTTTACTCTTCCCCCTCTTTTCCCCTTAGCTCCCATCTAGCTGCTTCTTTCCAAACCTGCTCCCAATTAGCTAACTACTCCATTCATTGTTTTGTTTCCCATATATACTCATCTTCTGCAGTTCCTCATTTCTAGATTATCTTAATTCCTCTTGTATGTTTCTCCTGAGTATCTCTTCGTTTTGGTTCTTTAGTTTTCTGCCTGTTTTTTTTTTACTGCAACCTACTTTATCATTAAATCTGCAAAAAACCATTGCTACCTTCCATCTCTGCGTTTGAGTCCTTTATGAACCTCCCCACATCCTGACAGTCTAATCCAGCCACCATGGACCCAGCAAAGCACAGCCTGGAAGATAACAAAATAAACCTCTTTTTTCCTCAGCCCGCCCTGGAGGAGGATCAGGGCAGTTGCCCAAATGAAGGATATTTTTCTTCAAAACTCCACACTCCTTCATACCCTATAAATAACTGGACTATATGAGGAGAGTTGGAATGGAACCTTCAACCTGCCTTCGCCCAACTCTTCAACAAATCTCCACCGTTCAGACCACAATTGGCCTATCTTTCTGTTCCTCCTTCTGTCACCTCGGTCTCAGGTGTTTCTGCTGCTGCTTCACCTGCTGCAAAATTGC